TTATATACACCATACATCAGAATTGTGACAATATAACTTAATTTGAGGTTATTATCATTAGTTATTTAGTTACAACTATAACACATCACTACAATGTCACTGAAGAACAAGGGAGTAACTAAATAATAAAATCCCACATTTCAGGGCTGAAAATGACCAGAGGTAAGAGAATTGGTTTGATTTGGACATTTGATTTACATGATAGCTCAAACATCCTGTCTCTTTAGCTAGGAAAGTTGAAATAAGGACAAAAATGTTTTTATGCGCTTAGACTCGCTATAGTTACACTATAGTATACTCTCAGTTATCCTGTAGGACTGGTTTGCAGAAATAACTTAAGAGAGCTGCACTGTTTCTGCGGTGCTTATGTCTTCAGCTATTTTTCTTACACGATATATATATACAGCACTTTTAAATGCAAATGTGTGGCAGGGATATGAAATATCACTTGGTATCAGCAAACATCAGAGGCAGGCATAGTAGGCATGTGCAGATACACACAAGGTGCACACAAGGTTTTTAGCACTGATGCCTAATGTAAGAAGGGATAGAGAGAAAATAAGAGAGACTAAAAGAAAGTACATTCACAGCTGCATCTCCTTCAGTACCCCCCAATCATGTTGAGTGGACAAAGGGGGCATGTGGAACTGGCAACGCCAAAAAGATACACAAAAGCAGGTTTTCTCTGAGGATTTAATGACAGCATTTTTACAGGCAGTATTTTTACAATCTTTAGGAGCCAGATATCACACCTCGATTTAGTATTTACTCCAAAACACAGACAATGATTTACATCACCATTAAAAAATATATAACATATTAAGTTAAGGCCCAAAATCCTAGACATAAAAAGTGCATATTTTCTTTAAAGAAATTCAACATAGTGGACAAGAAAAAAAAATAGGCATTGCCTGCTTGTTTTCTTCCACACAACCTCCAGCAAAATTGCTGGGGCCCAGCCGTCTTCAATTATCTTCTCTTTAAATATTTAAAAATGTGTCAGGTTCAGTATTTCGCCTGTCACTGAGCTAATGCTTCTTAAAATAATACAGCGTGGAACACTACATTATACCCACATTCCAGGCTAGGTATAATTAAACACTGAATTTAGGTCATTCCCAGTGAAGAATGAAGACTGTGCTATAAAGCTTTACAGATACAGTTAGCGTGTGATGAATTACTTTCTCAATAACCACTTTTGACTGGCAGAATAATTCCAAGTCTGCAGGGTAAATGCGCAAGTGTGTGCTTTTATTTTTGATTACAAATGTTTAAGGCGACATTGTACTGTATACACTACATGACCACTGATCATTGCGCCCATGTGTTCTTTTTGAACATCAACTTTGGAAAGGCTCTATGGATTCTGCAACATAAATTTACTCCTATTTATTTAACACACAGTGAGGTTGACCATTGATGTTAGCGGGTAGCTCATAGCCAGTATTTTTGTTCATCTCATAGTATATTTAATGATACCGAGAAATGTGTTTCACAAAAACTAGGAAAAATTAACCCTGACCTTGTGCACTCGAATTCAAACTAACATCAACCTATGAACTGCTGCCACAAAGTTTAGCTTCAATTTCTTTTCTTTATTGCAGCGGCACCAGGCTCATCAGTAATTCAGACGTCCTTTTACAGTTCCCTGCAGGGGGATTCCCTGATGCTCCAGCTCAGATGAGATATATATTTTCTCCAGTGAGTTCTGGGTCTACACTTGGATCTCCTCCAAGCCTGGAGAATCTCTAAAGGAAGGTACCCAGGAGGCATCCTTATTAAATCCCCGCACTACCTCAGAGGACATCTTTTGATGAAAAGGAGGTCTAGTTCTACTGCGAGCCCGCCTTAAAATTTTGGAACCTGTCCCCTAATGCAGGGCTGTCTTAGGCTGTGAACATAGACAAACAACAGGTGAGCAGTCATTCATGTTTTTCTGCTTTGAAGTCCATCTGATAATTGCATGCATAGTTATTGCATAGCAGTGTGGTGTCTGAACCCAACAGATCTATGGAGAAAACTGATTTTGATCACTTAGGATCTCTTTCTTTTGGTCGCTACTTAAAGCTCATGATCATAGATGAAGTTGGAAGAATCAGGAGATGGAATCCAAAGTATACCTTTTCCTCTCAACTGTCTCTTCTCCACAATGGACCATTGAAGTGAAGTTCAAAGCTTAGTCAAAAACATCACTGTAGAGATTTTGTGTAGATTTTCCTCAGTTGAAACTAAGTGACTTATCTCTAACTGAAAAGATGCTGGACACACAGTGTAATGCTAGTGGCACCAGAAAGACAAACAATATCTACAGCATTTAATAAACATTGTTGGAATTTATAGCTTAGCTTCTCTGCAGACTTTGTTATCATAAAAAATGCATGTGGGTGGTCGAATGAATTTTAAACATTCTGCCAGCAGCTGTTCAAAACAAAAAGTGGATCACATGAAAAATGTTTCAAGTGTGTGTGTTCCTACCACTGATGGTGAGCCCCAGTTCCACTCCTCTTTTCTTCGGCAGCTTGACGTGGAAAGTACCACTGCTTGGCACCACTGATTCTGCAACAGAAACACAGACACACACTTAAGCATAACCAGAGAAACAAGTAATGTAAAAAGAAACAGATAATACTCTCCTACATGGCAAACGGGGACTGTAAATCCTCATTGTTTGCCTACAGGAGTAAATACTAATTCTACCAGTAAAACACCTTTAAAACTGTAAGCACAGCAACTACGTAAGGCTTTCTGACTCCTTACTTGGATCTGTTTCTTACTTTAGAGTTTGTTTCGCTCACCAAGAAAAGGTCATTTAATTTCCTGAACAGCTTGTGCAGGAAAGCAGACAACAAAACAAATCTACTCAAAGTAGTTAAAAAGGAAAACACACTAACAATCAAGCAAACAAAAACCAATATAAATATAACACTAGGTGAATACGTACCACCCAAATTTAGGGTTATTATCAGTAGATCTAATAAATCTATTCTTTTTAATTTATAGAGTTAGTTATGAGCATCCTTTACCTCCAAATTATCTGCTAGCCATATAACTCAATGAGTGAAAAAGCTACTATTAATAACTGCAGAGACCTCAATCAAACACTTAAATTGTTTGAAAATTCCCACTGACTACCTAAACTGCACAGTACTTTATTTTTTCACAAGGACTTTTTACACTTACAGGTGTAAAAGTACATGCCTGGATGTATAATTCCATTATACTACACATGTATTTTTTTTACCAAGTCTCTTTTGAATCATTATTATGAATAACAACAAAAAAACAAAAATGACTTTTTGAAAAATTATATCAAAGTTAAAAAAGAAAGCAGGTCATTCAGCCTTCACTTACTAGAATGATGAAATTATAGTACTGAACAGATTCCCTTCAAAAGAAGCACTACACTGTATTTATTTAATGTAATTTGATTCCTAAAAAATAATCTTGGATTGATGTAATCCTAATCCGAGTTTAACATTTTCCAAAATGGAATCTGTTGAGACTTTTCTTCTACAGAGAAATCAGAAATAAAGACCCTGAATGAACTCTTCATACTTTCCACAGAGGTTGACAGCATGTCAATGGTGCCATGCTCTGCAGTGAAGAGCTGTATTTATTCTGTCTAATCCTGCCTGTGCTAACACAAAAGCTCACAGCACAGGAATCTCACCAGTATATCCAGTCTGTGAAAATGAGATTATATGTGCTTTTTAAACAAAGGTATGTCTTAAATGGGAGCTATTAAAGAACACAAAGGTGTCTTTCTATTTTGTGAAAACGTTTTTCAGGCTTCACAAATTAGCAAGGAATATGTATGGTGCATGTGTGACATGGTATAAGGTCTAAAACGTTTTGCCAAGTTTACAAACCTGCTACATCAAACTCTATTTCCAGTGTGACCTTATTGGTCAATGCAGCATCTCGGAGGAGCTGATTGGCTTCCTCGAGTGTGCCGTCTTCTGTGGGGATTCCATTGATCGACAGAAGACGGTCTCCTACCTGCAGCAGGCCACACCTAAGAGAAAATCAAGATGCTTTAGTGATTGGAAAAGCAATGCTTCCATGCTTGACAGGTTGCAGAGAAAAAAGTGGAAAAAGCAAAACAAAAACTCTCCAGCCCTCATTTTATTTTACCAGTGCAGCAAAGTGTGTAATAGTTTCTCCCCTATCTACAACTTCCAGTAAGGTTTTTGTTTTAAAATGATTTCTCTTTTTCAGTTTTCTGTGATGCTCTCAGGATGTAAAAAAAACAAAAAAAAAACTCTTACAAAACTGCAGAAAGACTAAAAAGCAACACATAAACAACACATTTCCTCTTTGATTTGTCATTCACATGTACATGCATTGTGCTAAGAAAGTTTTGGTAGTATTAACTAATAACCAGTGTGAATCTGAATGAGGTTTTCTTGCTTTTAAAACAAAACTCATAAATTCTGGTCTCACACTGAATGGATTTAAAGTACTCTGGACTGTTGGTTTAAATATGAAGAAGTAGTCCACAGAGTACTCTGACAGAAACTTTGCAAAGACACAAATAATGGTAACAACAAACCTATCTCACCTACAAGAGTACTAAATGTATTTAGTGATTTTCATGGGATAAAGCTCAGAATTAGGGTTGGGGTTGATATAATGATTAATATAAACATAAATGTAAAAGTAAAGATTTAAAATCTTTGGTCCTGTTCCTATATATATCACAAGGATACATATGAGCATGTAGTACAACTCTACATATAATTCATTTCCCTGTGTTTCATATCCATGCATCATCAACAATGAGATGAGATTAAAAACAAAGTATACGTTTCCATAAGGCAAGACACCTTTTTGTGATAAACTGTAATCACTATTAGGACTGACATCTTGCTGGGTTTTAAAAGGAAGAGAAGTTTTTTTCAATGGAGAGGAAAACTGTCATTTTGGAGTGGCTTGAACTAAACTGAAGTTCTCCAGTTATTTGTTTACAAGGACGATCTACTGGAGCGCGAGACCACGGTTTCAAGAACTTTCCAAACATCAGCTCACTCAGGCAGTACACCACACTCAGCATTATGTTCACACAAGCTGTCAGATCCTGCTGCCTGAAATAAAGCCTGTTTGTCTCGCTATTGTCTATGCCTATTTAATATGATTACCTCCAGGGTCAAACTGGTCCCAAGGGGAGAATAAAAATTCAGGCATTTATGTTTGCTAACTGTCAGTAGCTGCCCTATCTGGAATTTTTCCCCCTCCTTCAATTCGTTTTACAGACAGATGACAGGAGCGTAAGCTTATGACTCCCCACTGTGTTACATTTCACATTATTTTTAGATACTGTGGCTTTTATGCTGCTGTTTAGCTATTATTTCCAAAATACACCAACCCTGGCTGCTCATTAAATAAACGACTGTTGGAATTAAATCAAAGCGCATTACCTGTGACTATTCAATTCAGGAATCATGTGCCTTTTCTGTTGATATATTATCCTCTGATATTATTAATATGTCACTGTTTATTCAGACTTAAAGCAATTCCAGCTTTCTTGCTTTTCAAGGATCTGGAAGGAAAAACTTGCTGAGAAGATCCCCGTCTGTGAGTCAGACTATAATACTCCAGCCTAACAGAATAAGATAGCTCATGCAGTGAGCTTCAGAAGAAATTAAAAACAAATGCAATGTGTGGCTAAGAAAAGCAAAGGAAGGTAAATATTTGAGTAGCTTAAACGTGTGACTTTGAAACACAAAACTGGCTAAACAATAGAAATATGGAGTGTTTTTGGGTAACTTTTGTTAACATAAATGCAAAAGCTGCTAGTAAATTTTATGGCTTAAGGGTGAAATGTCAACTCCTAGAATTGACCCAAAGCCATGTTCCTTCTTGCAATGAAATTATTACAACAGTTATCCACTTCTGCACGAAGGTGACATCTGACAGAAGAAAATGAAGATGAAATGTTTTTGTCTCCGTTTAATTCGGCCTCACTGTAATGTAGTTGGTGCCCTATAGATTTCCAGGACATCTAGGTTTTTTCTTTCATGTGACATACATGCACAAATGAGGCACTGTATCTTCCATTAAGCCACGAGTGGGTGACTTGTATTAATATACAGCCAGACATCTTCATTATGATTTACCGAGGATAAAATGGTCTGCCATAGCTCTCATTCCTGTCGTTCTTTCTCCTCCATTTCCCATTAATTGTTCAAGAACCCCAAGTCCTTTCTTCGCTTTCGTTGTCTCATTTTTTCATTCTGTTTAGTGCAGCCCTATGACTGCCTTGCTGTCGTATTAATTTACACTAATAATTTAATTTTCATCTTCTAACCTTAACTGAAGCCAAATGATAAAAGTTACTTTAACAACAACTAGTCATATTTATAATCCCAGACAAACCTTCATCATCAGGACTGTAAATGTGCAGAACTAAACAAGTTAAAGTGGGATTAGGATACAAATAGTTGTTTTGTCAAACTCACGCTGCTTCTAAATTTGGCAACAATATCAAGTTCCAATTATTACAGTGAACATCCACCTTCAAACTGCTGTTTGATAACTGACCCATTTTTGTGTGGCTGTTTGTTTAACATTTACTTTGCTGTGTTTTTTTCTGTTTTTAGTGCTCTCTGTTTGCTCATCACTATGCAATCTTCCATTGTAATAGTTGACTGTGCACTTGAAATTTGAAAGTACGACTAAAATTTTAGTATTTTTATTATATTAAAACATGTAAAATACACTCCACCTTACATAAATCTGTATGTATGGAGTTCTCATGGTGGTTTGTGTACACAGGCAGATAACGTGGCTCCCTGCTGTCTTAATATTACTCTCTATGCCATTATCATTTTTGGGGAAAAGGGCCAAATAAGGCAAGAAATTACTGGAGCATAACTAGGTTTATGCTTTTTGAATCTTTTATTAATAGTCTGATTTTTTTTTTGGCCCCTTCCTTTTTCAAAAATAAACATTAAATATAGAATTCTTTAGTGGTACAATATACACATTTTAAATTATGGCAAATGGTCTACCATTTACAAAACAAATCTTCCAGCATTCGCAGCACCAAAGGAAAATAATTACAGGTTAAAACCTTAAAAAGAGCTCCACAGACCACTGCTGCACAAATCGTACAGTTTTAAAGGCTATAAGTTGTGGATAATTGTAATTCGGGGTGGTGTAAAGGGGGTTATTTGGATTCACACTGCCAAGCGGAAAGAAAGGTACTTATCGATTCCTCCAGAGTGGGCAAAGGGAAGCTAGCTAATTAGTGTTGTTAGTGTGGGCGCTAATGGAGTAGGGAGTGTGGCCTCAGGGTGCCGAAACACACCCAGCACTTACAGAAGCTGTTAATATGATGGAAACATCAACATCAATCAATGGACACGGACATAAGCACAGCATCATGATCCAGACACGACTAAGAATTCATACAGAGACTTAAATGAAGTTGTGAACAAATTACTGAGAAACAGCAGACATAAGCATGCAGAAGACTGTGGGCACGCACACACTTGCATGTCAGTGTTCACAAAAAAACCCTACTCATGCACAGAAATTCTTCCAAACATTTAAACACCCACACATAATACAGAGCCAAGAAGAGCTGCTAATACACCAAAACATCAGTCTAACACACCCACCCACACTAACACTGACATCCAAACACACACAGGGAAGCTAACTAAAACTCTGTTAATGCAACATTAAAGTCGGCATTTGTCCTCAAACAAACAGAAGGCCATTTGTACAGTTGTTGTACAACTACACAAATACAAGTGAACATCCTGTTACAAAGTTTTTAAATTACACATCTATAATTTTACTACACTATAACTGTGAGGAAAGGTCATATTTTACCCATGTCTATTAACAGTTTTTACATGCACCAATGTGGGTCAAATTAATAAGAAAGGTGGTTTTAAGGAATCTTAAAACTTTATATGTCATGTCTGGGTGTATTTTATACGAAACAGTGACAGAGTTCAAAGGATACTTTGACTTTGCCACCATGTTGCTACCATATTTGCTCCACAGAGACAAGCACTAGTTAGTCTTTGAAATATCATGTGGAAATCTCAAAGCAGTATAGGAGTGATAAAATATGGTGCATATAAGTCCCATAGCTACTGAACACACATCTAAATAATACTATATTTGCACATTTTGCATCTTGCACATGTCTTTGTCCTGTCTCGTCTACAATATCCGGACAACTACTTGAACCTGGTATTCAATACCTACCGCACAATCCACTTTGTATTGTTTCTGTCCCTGTCTTTATTTATCGTACATTTAGTATTGTATAGTTAGCATTATAGTATTGTATAGCATTGTATAGTTTGTAATTAGTACCTTTTTATCCCTTAATTTTACCGAAATTTAGCATGTTATTTATTTGTAAATCCTAGTTTTATATCTCTTGGAGATATATCTTTTATATACTTATAAATGCACCATGGGGGGCTTGGGGTGAAACAGCATTTCGGTACCTGTATACTGTGTATTGACAATAAAGCTCTTGAATCTTGAATCTAAAATAGTCATAATAAGGAAAGAGGGTGTGTTGAAGGGTGGTGCCTTGTAATAGACATGAGATCTGAAATAGGGTGGCGTGGTGATACAGTGCTTAGCACTGTCACCTCACAGCAAGAAGGTTCCCAGCAAGGCTCTTTCTGCGTAGATTTTTCATGCTCTCCCTGGGCTGTGTGGGTTTCTTCTGGCTACTCTGGTTTCTTTCCACAGTCTAAAGACATGCAGTTTGGTTAACTTGTAATTCTAAATTGCCCACAGGTGTGAGGTGCGGTGCTTGATATTGATGGAATAAAATAATGTCTGTATGTATGGTTAAAGTGTAATTAGAAGCACTGAGGAATCACTAAGACTAGGAAAGCACAATATAAATTTAAGTACTTGCATAGTCCAACTACTGCTGTATTTTCAGATCTCAGATATAACTGTGCTTATGGCAGATTTGTATTTAATGTAGGGTCACTTTTACTCAAATTCACAAGATGAGACAATGTGAGATGTTATAGTTTTTTTTATTCATTTTTATTTCCACACAGGATTGTTGCTTAAAGGAATGAGTTATTTGAAGAGTCCTCTTTCCATCATGTTTGTATATGCCAACTGTGTGTCATGCCTCTTATAGACAATGAGGTTGAAAACACTTGCACAAAGGATACACCTGTGCACCTTCTATATATCCCTTCTGACAAGCCACTTCTGTCCTCTCTCTTCCAGATGCATTTTGGAATTGAAACAGTGTAGCATACTAAAATTGATTTTTAGGTCAATGATAAGACAAAGAATGGAAGTGACTCAGAGGCACAAATTAGCGACACAAGAAAAGCCTGTGACTATATGTCCACAAAAGACTGACTAAAGACACAGACACAGGTGGAAACATGGCTAGCTGGGAACCAGAAATAAAACAATGACGGTGGGGCAGTGAATCACAAAGCAGGGAAACAAAAACAAGACTTTTGACATTGTAGTGCCAAAAAAAAAAAAAGTCAGACTAAATTTGATATTGCAGTGAAAAAGCTACAGATGACAGTTATTGTAGTTTAGATTTAATTTATGCCACAAACGTACATCCTTATGACTGGGTCAGCATGCACGCTCACCTCTCTGCAGAGCTGTCAGGCTCTATGAATCGAATAAGTGGTGGTGCTGACAGCGTTTCGGTGGCAAATATTCCTCCCTGTAGTTGTACACCAAAGCCGTTCAGTGGGTCACCTGTTAAGACAACCTCACTGGTCTCTACATGAACCACCTGACCACCTGGACCCACCGAACTGGAGGCCAGGGACACTAAAAACACACAGACACATAGATTACAGTTAGTTTCATCCCTTCTGGGAAATTAGATCCATCATGCAAAGACACAGGGAGATGGAACCTACAGGAGCTCTTATGCTCTTTCTTTCTCTGCCGCCGTTTAAGCAGTGAATTACGGGGACTCATGGGAACAGTGGGCCTGGGTAACGTGCTCGAGCTCTGGCTGCTGGGGCCAGAAGTGGTTGTAGAGGCAGGAGAGAAACTGGCTGATACAAGAGCTGCAAAAAAAGAGTGAGGGAACAGAAGTGTATTTTCAATATTGCAATACATGAGCAATAAATTAGACTTTTAAGAATTAAATTAAAAAACCGAAGAAGTAGATGCTAATAAATCTCCTTCTTTGTCTGGGAAATGGAAAAGGAAAACAAAGAGTCAAAGAGCACATGTTAAATACCGCAAACATGGATATGTCAGGTAAAATTTTCTTGTTTGGTGCTTTATTTTCACAGCATGGCGGCTGAGTAGTTAGCAGTGTTGTCTCACAGCTGTAAGGTATTGGGTTTGGTGAGAAATGTATATGCTCTCCTTGTGCTTGCTTGGGCCTCTTTCGAAACCTCTAGTTTTCTTGTCATATTTCCACATGACCAAAGACACTGCACTGCACAATGCCACGTATATTTAAAATATATGCTTATGATGCTTATCTTTGAATCACAAGATGGGAATTCATAGAGACATGCTTTAAATAGTCTTAAAAATATGTAGAGATTTTTAAAATATATCTTTTTAAACAACACTACATATACATTCCACTGGGCAGCATACATTTGATGTCTCATTTACCCTTTCATCATCAATAATCCAAATACCATTCGGCAATGAAGTCTAAATTAATGCATACAGCTTAATTTAGACTTCTACTAAAAATTTCTGGTCTTACTTATGTAGTACCAAGTTGTGTTGTGTTTGTGTTCTTACACTTGCAGTAGTCAAGGTTGTTGATTGTGTTGTTGTTAGAGGCTGTCCACGATTTATTGAGGGTCGAACTTGTGTTGCAGAGAGTGGAGTTTGGAGGGGGACAGTAATTAACACAAGGGTCCCAGGAGTGGGGATGGTCCGACTTCTGAACCTTGACTGCAAAACACATGCAATGAAACATGAGCATTGAATTTTAATACTTCTAAAATCAATGGCTAGGTGTAGGCTAAACCAACCTTACACCAACTCTTACATAATTTTAATAATAAAATAATAACAAAATTCAAATGTCTGAACCTAAATTAAAAGTTTGTGTACATGTAGCATTGCTCTTCCTATGCTATCAGCCCACTAAATGGCTTCTATCAGGCTAAATCATTGTCACAGATATAGGTAGGAGGTACCCTACCATGTCTGCTATTTGCCAAGAAGGTGAGTTATCATCCATTCTGATCACTGATAAGGAGAAATTAATGCAGATGTTACAGAATTGCAATTTATAAAATTGTGAATTAGAGATTCGGACATAATAACTCATCTATAACCTATATAATAGGTATAGCTCTCATTATGGCTGTCTTCCTGTTATGTGTACAGCTTGTCTTGCCCCGTGTCTCATCCAAATATGATCACACAGAGCACACATTCCATGAACTTCATGTAATCTTGATTGCCATGGGCTGTCACAGACAGTATCTGTATATTTTTCATATTAAAACCATTCTAACTGCTTGCTGTTTAGCTAGTTAGCTGTGCATTATCTACTTTTCCTCAATGGATTGAATCTTTTAGGCTGATACTGATTGACGTGTCGTTAGACCTCAGTGTTTTCTTCACAGAGATCTTGTAACTCTCACCTCACCTGGCCGCTCACCCCGGACCAATTTGCTTTGACCCTACCAGGGGCAAATCGACCCTACATCATAGCCACCCAGGTAACCACTGCACAGAGTAGTTCAAATGTCACCAGCACATCTACCACTTAAACCCTATATGTTTGTCTGTGAAAATCCCAGAAGATCTGTAGTTTCTGAAATACTAGGATCAGGCACCGTCTGGCACTGACAACTATGTCATATTCAAAACCACTTAAATCACCTTTCTGTCACATTCTGAAGCCTGCTGTGAACTTCAGCAGGTTGTCTTGGCTTCGTCTATATCCCTCAAAGCATTCAGTTGCTGCCGTATGTTTGGTTGATTAGATATTTGTGTTAATAAGCACTTCAACAGATGTAACCAGCAAAGTGGGCTGTGAGTATTTAAGGCAGTGATGACATTACTTTTCAGCTTGATTCATTCATTTATCAGTTAACCCTTGGAGATCCTTAAAAAAGACATCCACCTTGGTCCCTAATGGACATAAATGTCCATTCCCCAAAAAGTGCAATAAAAATATTATGTATTAATATTTTTTTCCACTTTAAATTGGTCAGTCTTTTAAAACTACTTCTCCCTGAAATATTCATATAAAGTTTTAATTATATTTTCGTTGTTTTAACCCTTTAAACTCTACAACAAATTTCATCTGAACTGTGATTAAAAGAGATATAAAACTTTTTGGGTTACTAACACTCACATACCAACCAATCAGGTGAACATATTTCCAAAAATACCTATTATATGACAACATATAATTCAATACCTTACTGTATTGCATTTAATCCAAACTAATTTCACTGTCACTTAATTAGGTCCATGAAAAAGTGTCTCTAAGCTACATTCAGCTGCTCCCTTTGTCACAAGTGGTGAGCACAACAGGTGGCTCCACATGTTTGATTTGGCAGAATCCAGAATCCAGATGCCAGATGCCCTTTCTGACGCAGCCGCAAAGACAAGTTGTGTCGGGAATTGAATCAGTGACTATTTGCTTGTTACCCATTACATTATGGAGAAAGAAAAAAAATGAGTTGACTGTGTCATCTGCTAAAAATTCGCATTTCTTCAGTTTTGGGGGAAAACCTCTTTTGAGGAAACTCCCACTGAGAATTTAATGATACAATCGAGGCTGACAACCTGACAATCTACACAGCTTTGTGTGTAATTCCCCTTTACGCTCGTGTATCTAAACTCTGAAGTTTATCCGAAGCTACTCTGTGCTGTCACAGCCATCCAGCTGAGCTATTGTATCCTCGACGTGTGAGGCCTTTTATCTAAACTACTCTGATGGCAGGACGTGTGAGGAGCGGAAGTGTTGGGCAACCTCGGGGTGAGATCCGTGAAATGAGGAAACATTTTTTCATCTAATCCTCCTTGGGTAAAAATGAAGTCATTATGTCCAGTGAAACACACCGGAGAGACGGTCCTTCTGACAAGGAACGGCAGCAGTAACACACACTGTAAATGCCCACAGACAACAGACACATAACAAAGCCACTTTGAATTAACACTTATACTCATTTACACATGATATATTATGAGAAGATACACAAAACATGAGAACATTCTAAGACACATTTGTGTCTAGATTTACCAAACGTAATCTATGTGGCAAGAAAACCGACTGAAACTTTACTCACACACACAACTGCAAAACCTTTCATCAGAGTGTCTATTAATAAGGCAGCAGCAAGCTGGCTTTAAGGTCTGCTGCAAGGACATCAGTATCCTAATGAGCTGTGTTCATTTCCTAACACACACAAATGCACACATGTACACACAAAGGCGGTCACAAAACTGTGATTAGAAGAAGGAAAGAATAAATTTAGCTTCTTGCAGACAAATGAGATGAGATGGTGACCTTTCGAGTGTGTCTGTGTGTGCTGTGTTCACACGTGTAACTCCAAGAATGTTATTAAAAATAACATTCTTGTCACTTTAAAATAATACCAGAACACAACAGAGCTATAAAAGAGAAAAAGAGCAAAGAGGAACACTAGAAAATCATTTCAAAATGGAAGGAGATGAACATTTCTGAGATGAGGTACGTGTAGAGAATAAGAGAAGTCAAAGGCAGAGAAGAGAGGAGAGGAAAAGGACAACGGATAGGAGGAGGTTGCAAGCTGTAAGCAGTTTTTGACAGCTGGAAGAGAGGTGTAATGACTTTAATTAAATCCCATCTTGCCTTTACACTCCCTGTCACTCTATTTCTCATTCATGTGCCATTTCTCTTTTCAGCATTCACTTTTTCGTCTGTTTTCATGCTGAGAGCGATCTTCCACCACACAAAAGTTTCTATTGAAAATAGACTAATGGAACGGTTTTAGTTTAGTTCAAGTCTAGAATATCTAGTTTTTCTTCTCGGTCTTAAAGCCGTTGCTTTAATCCCATCTCTGTCATCCTCTCCTGGGAATCTCTAATCGACTGAAACACATTAAAGATTTTCTTCGAACAAAAAAGATTTTTTTTAAAAAGGTTTTGGGGAAAAACAAAATAAAGCTATACAGCGTCTACAAGTAGAGGATCGTGTTGACTGTGATGCGTTTCTATTTATTCACAATATTCATTGTGTGAGTGTGATGTGTACACTTGTCATACTTAAGCAGCCTCAGCTGCAAGCATTAACACATGAACATACGATAAAAAACTAGTTACTGGAATCAGGATTTCCCCTCTAAACCCATTGGCACCAATTCTGTCACAGATGAGAAGCCATCACTTGGCTATGGGTGAGCTAATTAGGAACAAAGTTGCCATTGCGGCCAAATTATTCCTCAAGTAGGGTTGTATTTAAAAAAGAGGCTGAAAGACACTGGAATGAATGGGATTTTTTTTTTTTTTGCTACTCGGATTTGCTAAATATGCATGAGGTGACTTAATTGTGGTGAAGACTAAACAAACTCTCCTTGGTGGTTTTTACTCTGCTTTTTTTTTGGAATCTGACTTAATAGCTGCCAAATCAGAGCTGACCAGGAATTAAATACACAGATGGTCATTGTTCTTCAATAATTAGCATTTGTCATGCTAAATATTACAAATACTGCCATCTAACTATGTTTCCTGCTGTTGAATGTCAGTACAACATGCTCTGGCAAAAAATGTCTGTTTAATTTCATAAACATGTATGCAACAAAAACAAAACAAAGCAAGTGATATTTAAAATAAATAAATAAACTGTTAAGTGATTAAGTGATTCTGAAGCTCTGGCTCCAAAGGTATACTACACATGAAGAGTGATGAACAAAGCTGTGCATGGGTAGAAAGACAATTTAACAATTTTAGGAGTTATACCTATTCAAATAAGAGCAATGCAGCAGGCTGAAAAGATGGCAGCATCAGCCATCATAGTAGAGGCTTGAGCCCGCAAACAGAGTTGAATCATTATGATTTAACAAGGTTGTTCCATAATTACCAGTGGCTTTTTTTTTTAACTTTACCCAAATGACAGATAAAATATTGACAGATAAAACTGTAAAATTTTGATTACTAAAATAACCAAAGAGTTTACTGTGAATCTGATGGCCCTAGCTGTTACACTCACCCGTGTCATGCTGTTTTCCAGTTAACCTCGTTTGATGCGAGGGAAGAATTTCTAATTTAACCAGTTCTGTTGTGCTTGCTATTAATTGTGTTGCCTCCAGAACCGTACAGTGCTCTGTTGATGTCCCATCAATAGACAGCAGGTGATCCCCAGCATGCAGTGCTCCACATCTAATACAAAGGAGACAAAAAGAGAATAAGCACAAAATGTTATCGCCACAATACACTGGATAAATAAACAGAACACAAATAGCTTCCATTCTGTTTCAGAAAAGCTTTTTTTTTGTTCTTTTGCCAACAGTATATAAGCTAAACACATTAATCTGCTTAGCTCACAACGGCATGCTGCCGTGCTGGTCAGAATGATATCGCTGCTCTTCACACAGGGGTTAGATTTTACAAACTGACTTTGCAATCATGTGGGAATGAATAGTGCCAGAGCACAGACCTCTGCAGTCAACTTGTCCTGTTGACTGAGGTTATTTTAGTACTCATTTCAGCACTGACACAGAGTTCAAGTGCTTCATGTATATTTTAGAGGTAGACTGGAGCTGAAAGCAATATCCCGTCTTCTGATGTCTGTGTAAGTTATAAGGTTGGACACAGTCTTTGTGTGTTTATCTGTGTCTTTCTTACACAGAGAGGATATGCTGTAAACATAAATGCAACCACTGCAAATCTGTAATCCAACAGCAGAATCAAATTAGATCTTGAAGGGGAAACTATAAAGTCCACCATTTTTCAACAAAAGAGAAATATACAGCTGACAGATGTTTGCAAAAGTGTAAACTATATATTATTGTGCACTAGCCCTGTTCTCAAGAAAGTAATTTTTATAGCATTCCAATACATAATATTCTTTTAATGGTAACTTTGCATCAAACAAACCAACCAGACAGACAGACAAAGTAAGGAAACAGTTCTGCAGAGTGAAAACTGTCCACGAAGTACTTACTGTGGACTTAAACTGTACTGAGCTACAATGTTGTCTTAATATCTGAAACATCTCAGAGCTTCTTTCATCCTCTGTTGTAGTTTGACAGCTAACAGAACAAAACTCACTCAGAACTTAAAGGGTAAATCTAGGCAAAACTACAGCTGGCATGTATGCAAACACATACATGCCAGTTGTGTTTCTAAGAATATTAACTCTGTTTAGTGAAAAATTACAGTTAGCCAGCATGTTTAAATGTGACACCAAGGATTCTCTTACATATGCTAAGTTAGACTGAGGCTGGTTGCACTAATTTCACTGTCTAGGGCATCACAGCTCCCACACCAAAGGAAACTTCCTGTGGGTCTGTAAGACATCAGTGGGTTTTAAACACTGAGAATGCCCGGAGAATGAGTAGCATGTAGATACATACCTGTCCACCACGCTGCCAGGTTTAACCCGGTCGATGACAATGACCTGTTTGTTTTGATGATTGGCTGAAGTCAGCGTGATGCCTAGTGTTGCTCCTGGAGATTTGGCTATTTCCACTAACAGTGGACCAGATGCATTTGCCAGTGAGTCTGAACGGGAAAGAATGAAGTTATTTTAATAATTTGACCTTTTACTGCTTGCTGCTTCTTACAGTCTTAAAATGATCTTAGAGTAATCTAGCAAAGTACAAATACCTTAAATATCTGTTTCACCAAGAACAGCACAGTGAAAAAGTTTAAGAGCATATATGTCCTTGAAAATATAACCAGACATGATTAGCAGGGGATTGCTTGCAGTGCTTTTTGGGCAAGTTAAACTGAGCTGTTTTACCCAGAAAAATGAGGCAGACCTTAGCGTGAGGTGGCAGAAAATGCCAACACATCAACAGCAATCACAACAAAAGAATCAACCCCAAAAAAACATTTTTTTAAATTTCACTGGCATTTGAGAAAAATAAATTTTGCTGCAAGCTTCAATTTGTGTCTCTCTCTGTTATTTTGGCTTTTTTTTTTTCATATGTCTGTGTGTCTACATGTGAACTCACCGATGATAGTTACATCGTACTCAATTTGGAACAGGGCTTCCTGGCCACATTGGGCCAACACGCTGAGAGCATCACTGTGGTTTGCGTTGTGTAGTGGCACACCATCCACACTGAGGAGACGATCGCCAGGGCGCAGGGTACCTTCTCTGCATGCAGACACGCACACACATCCAAAAAAAATGACATTGGATTTTGTGATACAGTGATTACAGAAGACAGGGATTGGACATTACAATTTGCATGTAGTTCCAGCTTTCTTTCTTCCATAAAATTCTAGCGTGTTTAATTTTAACACATCAACAGTTTATTGTCCTTCTTCACTATTCCTTTTACATCACTATTTCAATCTGACTTCAGATTTGCCTATCTTGTGTCGCTAGGAAAATATTGCAAAAGCAAGCATATAATGTCTGTTAAAAATGACGAAATATCAAATGCCAAACCTTCCCTTTTTTCCCCAACATATTCTGTGTTCTTCATTCCTTCCACTCAGCCCTGTTTGTTCTTTAACTTAGTTCTTCATCTTGCTCATTTCCTTTCTGCCCAGCTAGATCCAAGCCTCTTTCTTCTCCTAACTTTCACTTCCACAATATTGTCTTGTGATCTCATCATCCTCTTTTCTCTCCCCTTATCTGTCTGAGACTTGCAGTAAAAATTCACCTTCATTTCAAATCAAGGACACACATGGAAACAGCATGAAATGTCTTCAGCATTTAAAATGTTGGTCTGTTTTCAGTGCCTGGTTAAAAAAACAACAACAACGAAAGCAAACAAACAAAAAACACTTATACAGAGAGATCCTCTGTGTTTTTAGAGGCACTCAGGAGGACCGTTTAGGCAATTTTTTACTTCCACAAAAATGGATGTGTAACATTTTGAATTTTTAATGCAGTGCGCCACATTAGAGCACTGATAGATGCTTTATGCTGATGTCAGAGTGCGAGTAACACTGAGCTGTAATCATACCAGCCAGATGTCTTCAAACAGGATGCTGATTGCCCTGAAGCCTTTCAACATGATGCGAGCTAAGCTATAACCCAAAGGCTCTATTGTGGCAGGAATTACTCCATGTGACAGGAGTATTTCTTGACAGATTTACACATTTTTCATCGGTTTTCAATATTGGTGCAGAATAACATACATGGTACATACAGGGTGTCGGATAAGCACATGAAAAGGTACAATACCAACAGGTGATTCCAGGAAAATTTCAGGGAATTTAAAATTTAAAGGTTCTACCATATGTTGATTGAAACAGATAAGCTTTTAGAACTTGACTGATATTTAACCTGTTTTTAGACCTGCAGGGTATCTTTCTATCTGTATCTGACAATGAAGTGAAAGCAGTTTCTTTGTGGTCCTGTAAAAAACACCATGGATCTCTAACACTTTCAGAGAAGGCACTTTAATTCCCACTGGGTAATTCTAAAAATGTAGACACTCCTGGGACTGTATGGTGCTGTGGATTAAGTTTTTTTTCCAATTGGCATATAAATGGGATATAAAACAGCATGAATATCTCATTCGTTTCCCCAGGACTGACCCACATTTTGAAGACGATTTTCTTTAGAACGGTATTAGATGAGCTTCAGGGTGAAATAACTCAATAGTAAGAATTTAATCTTTAATCTTTGTCCTGGTCTGCCAGTTCTGTCTGTGAACTAGTGAAGGTTCGGTCAGTCTGTAAGGCCGTGTAATGTGTGATTATTTGATGAAGGTTTACACTTCTGTATATACAAATGACCAATTTGGCAACATCATTATATATCTGATGGGTCAGCAGTCGCTTTGACAAATCTAAGATGGATTTACAGCAACAATCAAGCCCTTATGAATCAAACGAAACTGTAAAATATCTTAATCAGTAGAAAGACGAGGCATTAAGTACTCAAGCTTAGTACTTTGGCACTTTTGCATCTGCTTTAAATATTGCTGCAGAGCAATCTCAAAACAGGACCTGTCAGAATAAAAATAGCAACTTACAGTTCGAATTTCTAGGCGGAAATGATTGCAGCTGCTAAGTGATCAGAGGAGATGGTTATATTCCAATGTTTTGTTGAAAAGGGACAGCTGAGTCAATCATGTTCTTCAAAATTGGAAATGTTGGGTGCTGAAGTTTGCCTAATGCTAGTGTTGATGTGTGACAATCAGATGTAAGATATTGCTTTATTACAAACCTCTAAAACAGGCTCAGTGGTCCTTATTGTGTAATAAATGGCTTTCCTATTTTGTGTTTTAATGATGGTGGGTGACAGCAGATCACTCTTAAAGCTCAGTGATTCACTTGTAATCACATAATTTTCACATTCAATCAATTCGTTGAACTGAAGTCCTTTGAAGCACACCGACTGAAAAACAAAACTGCTTTTCTTTTGTCTTTTTTAATGACTTTTGTGCTTTTAACTTTAAAAACAGTTTGAAAGAAAACCTCACAAACAAACCTCCACCAGAATACAGTGGGGCAAAAAAGTATTTAGTCAGCCACCGATTGTGATTGTGCAAGTTCCCCCACCTAAAATGATGACAGAGGTCGGTAATTTGCACCAGAGGTACACTTCAACTGTGAGAGACAGAATGTGAAAAAAA